ATCTTCACAATGTCAAGCTCTTACAAACTTCATCTTCACAATGTCAAGCCATTACCAACTTCATCTTCACAATGTCAAGCTATTACAAACTTCATCTTCACAATGTCAAGCTATTACAAACTTCATCTTCACAGTGTCAAGCCATTACAAACTTCATCTTCACAATGTCAATCTATTACAAACTTCATCTTCACAATGTCAAGCTATTTCAAACTTCACAGAGGCCTCTGATTGGTTGTATACGCTGGAGCATAGTCCAATCAAATGGCTGCATTTATAAACTTCCGTGATACAAGAATAGTGGCTTTTGCAGTCAAGGTATAAGATGAAGTTCGTAATATCTTGACATTGTGAAGATGTCTGAGTGCCTGATGTAGAAAAAAGTCCAGTCTAGTTGAGGCCCCGTGTGCTGCAGGCTGTGCACGTTAAAGATCACTCGATAGTTGGAAATCGAAACAGAGCAGATTAATATCACTGTTCTTTCAAAATTTCCCTCATTGCACACTGCATGGTGTTATCAGTGGTTGATAATAAATACCCATCAAACACTTAGTAAACTAAGGAAAGGTGAGTTTCGGACTAACTTTAACTGGAAGTCGATATTAGATGGATTAGAACATCCAAGCTACTAATTATACTTAGACTAATGACAGTGGTGGCACCAGCCTCCTGAGACTTTTGGTACATATAGAGGACAAACTGACTCAATGGGGGACAACTACCGAGGGGGGGAGAGGGGGGGGGGGGTCCTATATCATCGTATCGAACTTCAAGATATAACACCTGATCATAAAACTTGATAAGAAAGAAGATCCATGCCCAAATTTCCCCGATCACACACTGCATGGAGTTGGCCGTCTTCATTAGTCCGATTGGAGCCGCGGTGGCTCAGTGAGTTAGACGCTTGCTCGCTTACTTGAAGGTCCAGGGTTCAACATTGGCTTAGGTCGAGATAATACCTTCAGATTTTCAACCCAATTTCCCCCTGTCAGTGATGTAGGTAAGAGGGGCTTACGTGGAAAAACTTTTTTCCGAAAAAGCGTCTAGTCGTTCAGATGGGACTATAAACCGAGGCTCCGTAAGCAACACGAGTCACGACACGAGTGCGACACGTTCAAACGCACCTGACTCGAGTCGAGTGTTGTAAAAAAAGGTAAACTTCCGGTTTTGACTTATTGATGAATTTCGCGATAATTCCGATTTCTTCTCGACTCGATTTTTTTTGGATAAAATATATTTTATAGATGTTACATGGCTTGGTAGTGAGTTTACATTTTCTTCTAACTGACTTCTTCATCTAAATGGAAATTTGGTGAGTTTTTTTTCAGTCGTTTGCAGATTTAGAAGCGAAAATGTTGAGTTCGCAATCAAGAATCTAAGACTTTTGGTCTTTCTCTGTCATTGTCATTGACTCATCCGACCATTAAATGAAAAAATGAAATGAATGGAGTTTTACATCCTACTTTTCTGCACTTAATTGGGCTAATGAAGACAGGCAACGACATGTAGTTTGCAATGAGGGAAATTTTGCCAAGACGGCGGCATGAGCCTCAGTTTATCATCCTCAAATGAAGGACATGACAGAATCTTTGTCTAACATGTCACAAGATGTCACAATAACTGCCATCAGTGTAGAATGGATAATTTGCAAAGTCATTCTAAGATTATCAGAGCTGGACCTTGTTTTGAAGCTTTGATTCAAATTCACTTAAATTCACGTAGGCCTACCAATGAACTTGTTCAGATATTAGTTATGCTGGGGTGTTCACACGAACAGTCTTTGCCGTCAACAAAGTAAAATTTTATATGTGTCTGCTTCCACGACAAGATTATTGCGTCCCCGACAAGTTTGATAATTGTCTCTGATAGTTTTATCATCTGCAAGACAAAGCGTCATGGGGCAATCAGATTCATTTTCCTTTCATTTGCATGATCTTCGCATGATTATCGACATAGTGCAAAATGACTGGAAATTTTTGTCTCCTCGTGTGCCCGCAGCCAGTCGGTGAAACTCTTGACAAGACTAGCCGGCGACAAAAATCACCGACCAAGACCATTCCTGTGCCTGCACGAGGACTTGTAACTTGTATGTGCATATTTTCAACCTAGTTATGAGATTTTTGCACGAAAAACATGCTTTCGGGGCAGCGATGGGAGGGGCACTGACCCCTCTGCTCACCCTTTGGCACTGCCACTGGCCCACTGCATTGCCTCACCCAATCACGTACCAGGAACGTAAACTATTTAATTTATTTCTTCAATCATTTGTAGATTATGAGAGAGATTTGATACTAAGTTAAAGATGTTAGGATTGAGTGGTTTGTCAAGGGTACAGAGATTAATATTAGGAATTATCGTGCTACTCATTGTAGATGTAATATGGGTAGCTTCTTCCGAATTAACAGAGGTAGGATATTTCTTATAACATAGAATTGTGAACATAACACACACCCCTTCTTTCCTTTCAGTATTTGGGGGAAAAATCTTGGGGTGGTGCATCCCTTTTTATACGCCCACATCTCTCTATGTGGACGTATATTGACGGCACCCCTGTCCGTCCGTCAACATTTACTTGTAAACGCTCTAAAAACTAGATTTTTTGATGGAATCAAATGAAATTCGATCAAGAAAGGTCAAAAAGTTTCTTTTTGTTTATCCAGACTTAATTTGACACTAAAAAATAAGGAAACCCATCTTTAACTGGAACAATGAAGAAAGATGACTTATTCACCAAACATTGGCAAACTGACTGAGATTAGAACCCACAATTACCATTTGTACAACATAATCAAGCAAATGATGTCATGTAAAGATTTCAACACTCTTACTGACTGCGCTACAACCCATCCTTAAAAATATAGAAATAATGTTTTTACTTTAGTATATATTCGAAGATTTTAAAAGACCATTCTTTACTACGTATATCAAAACAGCCATGATGAGTATGTATTTATTTGGTTTTATTATATGGAAACCATGGCGACAACAGTGTACCCACGTTCCGGTAAGAAATTTTACTTCCTCAAGTGAAAATCTGGGAACAGTCAGCATTTTCGAGGTCTTGAATATATGTTAATAGTCTTCAGAAATACTAGAAATGTACGAAAATCACATAATTCCTTCAAAAATATCTCAAACTAGGAATTTTACTCACTATTTCTATAGATGTCTTTTCTATATATCACAGTGTCTCAAGAAAAGACGAGTCATCATTTTAACATTCAAACGTAGATAATTCTAGACACACATAGATTTGAAGGTTCAAATTTCGACAGTGAACTGTGAACACTATTACTGATTAGCTTAGCTAAAAAATCCCGTGTCTGAGACTAAGATATGATTGGTCGAAGCTGTAATATTATATTTTGTGTATTTTTTAGAAATATTCAGGATTAAATGGTGAAACAGAGGAAAGGGAGGATAATTTAGTGAGTTTATAATTTATATTAAATGGAGTTATTGCCCTTGTTCAATCTTCTTCATTAAATATGCACTGAAGAGACTGGGGGTACAAGCAGGGGAGCAGACTGACTCAATGGGGAGACAACTACTGAGGTTGAATTCAAAATTTAGCTACTCTGTGGTGGTGTCATAGTCGCAAAATTCGTTTACAAAAATGAAATGATTTCGTGCATTCCGACACATATTTTAGAGAAAAAAGGTAGACATTTAGATTTGTTGAAAATAAAGAGGGGGTACAATTGGGGGTGCAAACCACTTTTCTAGGGGGGTAAATTTGTACTCCCATTCTGGGGAGGCTTATGTTTATATTTTATTCTTTTCCCTCAAGATAAGAAAAACTCTGATGGCTGTGCCAGTGCTTACGAGAGACGGCCTGTTGTCGTCGTAACCCCGTAACACCTAACCCTTATCCTCCTCAAGATATGAAAAATTCTGATGTCTGTGCCAATGCTTCCGAGAGCCCAGTTCATTTGGTATCATTGCTTGATTTAATATATGATATTTTTTGTTCAGAGTGAACCAATATATGTCCCAGTAAAATATGATAAAAACAGTGGAACTGATTCTGATGATTCTTCAGGTTAGTGTTAATAATTTCCGTGATATTCAAGATTGAAAATTGGGAAAACAGTAAAGTTGTCAGAATCACCAAATTTTGCAATCGATATCACCTCAAATACTTTCAAATTAAAACCTAAATCGTAATTTTCAATCAGACGTCTGTGGTTTTTGTAATTATAGAAATGCTTAACTGTAAATGATGTCACTTTTGCAAAAGCTACTAATAATATCTAAGGGCCTAAACGTCATTAAACACTTAGTTTTAGTGGAATTACAGGAACCACAGACGTCTGATTGAAAATTAGAATAATGTAAATTGATGCTATCAGTGTCTCTGATACACATAAAAAATTTAGAAAACCTTTTTACAATCTCTTTAACAAGAACCAGAGACGTCTGATTGAAAATTAGAATGATGTAAATTGATGCTATCAGTGTCCCTGATACACTGAAAAAATATAGAAAAACTCTTTACAATCCCTATAAATGCAAGTTTTTTTTTACATACTAGGAAGAAGATCGATAAGTTTTAACAGTTTATCAGAAGTTCGACAATTACCAGGTGAAGTAACTTTATCAGGAATCATTTTAACCCCACCAGGTTTCCATACCCTGCCCCTTTCATCATTATTCCAGTCAACCCAGCTGTAAATGGGTACAGATAATCATTACCAAGAGGTTTGGCCAAAGACCAGCTGGTAGAAAGGATCCTTGTGAACCTAAGTTGTTAACCTTGTAAAATCAATACCAAGAGGTTTGATCAAGGACCAGCTGGTAGAAAGGATCCTTGTGAACCTAAGTTGTTATCCTTGTAAAATCGATGTCATGAGGTTTGACCAAGGATCAGCTGGTAGAAAGGATCCTTGTGAACCTAAGTTGTTATCCTTCTAAAATCAATACCAAGAGGTTTGACCAAGGACCAGCTGGTAGAAAGGATCCTTGTGAATTTACGTTGTTATCCCTGTAAAAAATAGTTGTTTCTTTCTTATTAATACTAATTGTTATTTAATTGTTGTAGATACTCATGCGGAAGATGCTGTTTTATCACGTCTATCGTATTCAGCGAGTTTAAAAGCGGAAGAAGATAGGTTGAAAGCTTTAAGTAAATTATCAGTCAAACAAGTCGCCAAATTAGGTTTTTTGTTTTCAGTTCTAGTAAGTATATTTCTGATTTTTTCAAATTTTGGGGATGAATTCAAGTTTATTATTATTTTAAAGTGAATTGAAATATCAGCTTCAAAAAAGTTTGATGACGTCATTAATCGCTAAATATGTTTTATCACATAAAGACTTTGCAATCAGTGACGTCATAAAACGCTGAGTTTTAGTGGAATTGCAGGAACCACGGACATCTGATTGAAAATTAGAGAGTGCTATATATAGACAAACATATTAAAGTATTTTCAAGGTTATTTTCTGTTTTTTTCAGTGGTTTTTTGCCAATTTTTCGTACCAACAAGCTTTATTAGATACGGAGGCGGCCATTGTTAATGTTTTATCGTCAACATCTGGTTTATTTACCCTAGTCTGTTCTGCCGTGTATCCTAGTTCTAGTCTCGATAGATTTTCTTTATCGAAATTAGTAGCAGTATTTATCAGGTAAAAATTTTATATAAATATTAAAACAGAACCTGAAACATGTTGTTACTCAGAGTTTCACGTTGTGCGATCTTCAGACAACTAAAACAGAACCTGAAAAATGTTGTTACTCAGAGTTTCACACTGTGAGATCTTCAGACAACTAAAACAGAACCTGAAACATGTTGTTACTCAGAGTTTCACGCTATGCAATCTTCACCCTGCTAAAACAAAACCTGAAACATGTTGTTGATGCTGCTGTCCTGGCAAAATTTCCCTCATTGTACACTGCATGGCATTGCCTGTCTTCATTAGCCCAATTAGATACAGAACCAGAGGACATAAAACTCCATTCATTTCATTTGTAGCTGTCCTCACAAAATTCCCCTTATTGCACACTGCATGGCGTTGCCTGTCTTCATTAGCCCACATGGTGCAGAACAGAAGGATGTAAAACTCCATTCATTTCATTTCATTTGTAACAGTAATTGGTGTTAACGCCGTCTTGGCAAAATTTCCCTCATTGTACACTGCATGGCTATTTCATTTCTCACAGTGTCGGTGGTGCCACTATCCTGGCAAAATTTGCCTTATTGTACACTGCATGGCTATTTCATTTCTCACAGTGTCGGTGGTGCCACTATCCTGGCAAAATTTGCCTTATTGTACACTGCATGGCTATTTCATTTCTTACAGTATTGGTGTTGCCCCATTCCTGACAAAATTTCTCTCATTGTACACTGCATGGCTATTTCATTTCTTACAGTATTGGTGTTGCCCCATTCCTGACAAAATTTCTCTCATTGTACACTGCATGGCTATTTCATTTCTTACAGTATTGGTGTTGCCCCATTCCTGACAAAATTTCCCTCATTGTACACTGCATGGCTATTTTATTTCTTACAGTGTTGGTGGTGCCGCTGTCCTTACAAAATTTCCCTCATTGTACACTGCATGGCTATTTCATTTCTTACAGTATTGGTGGTACCACTATCCTGACAAAATTTCCCTCATTGCACACTGCAAGGCTATTTCATTTCTTACAGTATTGGTGGTGTAGTGATTGTTAGTATCTCTGATAAAAGTTTTGAAGATAATATTCCAGTCGGGGCGTTATGGGCGTTATTAAGTTCGATATTATACGCCCTATATCTGGTCTCGCTACGAAGAAAAGTGGATCACGAGGACAAACTAGATATACCCATGTTTTTTGGTGAGTAAGAAAAAAAAACTTGTAAATAATATTTTCATCTGTTACCTCCCCTTTAATGTTCGTCAATTGACCTTTTGACCTAACTCAATGACGTCTGGTGTCATCAATTGTCAAGGTATCTTTACAAAAATGAAATGAAATGAATGGAGTTTTACATCCTACTTTTCTGCACCTAATTGGGCTAATGAAGACGGCAATGCCATGCAGTTTGCAGTGAGGGAAATTTTGCCAGGAAATCGGCATTAGGCTGCTCTTTTTCGATTTCCAACTGTTGAGGGATGTTTAACATGTGCAGCCTGTAGCACATGGAACCTCGGTTTAATAGGTACTATGGGTTTGAATCCTCATCAGAGTCAGAAAAAAAAGATTCTGATGCCACGGTGTGTGCTTTTGGGTGTCATCGTTGCAGCCCTACAAGACAACTATCAAAAATATTAGAATGAAAAACTTTTTTAATTATTGATAAAATTTTTGATTTCAGGATAATTAAAAATTCTGATGCAACAGCCAGTGCTTTCGAGAGTTGCTCAAGGATAAATTCTGAACATTTTTTTTTTATTTCAGGTTTTGTTGGAATAATTTGCAGTGTAATAATATGGCCAGGGTTTCTGATTCTTCACTATTCTAAAACGGAGATATTTATATGGCCAACACGGTCTCAGTGGTTGTATATTACAGTCAACGGATTAATAGGCACCGTTTTCTCAGAGTTCTTATGGCTGTGGTATGTTTCTTATTTTTTTGCCGCTTATAACAAGTGTCTTGTGACGTCATTATCGCAAAAGCTGCTAATCAAAGGGCGCTATGACGTCACTATTGCATAGGAATTGCAGAAACCACAGACATCTGATTGAAAATTAGAATGATGTAAATTGAAGCTATCAGTGTCCCTGATACACCTAAAAATTTAGAAAACTTTTACAATTTTTTTTGTGTTCTACAATCTGTGCACGTTAAAGATCCTCGACAGTTGGAAATGGAAAAAGAGCAGGGATAATCCTGCTGTACTGGCAAAATGTCTCTCATTGTACACTGCATGGTCTTACCTGTCTTCATTAGCCTGTAAGGTGCAGAAAAGTAGGATGTATTACTCCATTCATTTCATTTGTTTTAAAAGTTTCTTCTAACAATGTCTGGATATTTTTTTTTTTCAAGGGGATGTTTTTTGACGTCATCGTTAATTGGTACGTTAGCTCTGGGATTAACGATACCCCTCACGATGATAGCTGATGCTATAATGAAAGAGGTAAGTTAAGATTTTTTTTGTGGCAGGGGAATAGCTCAGTCCGTAGCTAGGCGTTTAGGTGCCGTGGGTTCAAAAGAAATATTCTGATGCCTGTGTCTGTGCTTACGAGAGTAGGTCCTAATATGTATCCTAATATGCCAGGCTATATGAATATCTCCTTGAAGAGGTTAACAACTTTCAAACTGTGTAACGTCAATACTGTCTTTTTGTGGCAGTGGAATAGCTCAGTCGGTAGCAAGTTGGATTGTTGTCTGCTAGGCGATTGAGTGTTATGGGTTCGAATCTTCCTTATGGTATGAAAAATTCTGATACCTGCACATGCACAGGCAAGGTTAACAACTTTGAAACTGTCTTTTTGTGACAGTCTGTAGTGAGTTAGATTGTCGTCTGCTAGGCGATTAGGTTCCATGGGTTCAAATCTTCCTCAAGGTAAGAAAAATTCTGATGCCTGTGCCAGTGCTTCTGAGAGTCGGCCGTTTGTCGGCTTTCACCCCTTTATACCTAAGGTAGAATTCCTTTGATAAAATGTTAAATATTTTTTCCAGGTTCACTATTCCTGGATTTTTTACGCAGGAACTGTTCCAATTTTCTTGTCGTTTTTTGCCATCAGTTTTTTAACTCATTATGAAAATTGGGATCCTGTATTGATTGGTTTAAAGAAATTATTACATTGTGTTTGTAAGAAAAGATCAAAAATAAGGTAAGCTCACAGTTTTACATTTTTTCAAGTTTCTTTAAAATTACTTTTGTTAACCAATCATACTTTAGTGTCAGAAACAGGAATTTTTTAGCTAAACTAATCAGTAATAGTGTTCATAGTTCACTGTCGAAATATGAGATATTTACATTTTTTCAAGTTTCTTTAAAACTACTTTTTGTTGACCAATCATACTTTAGTCTCAAAAACTGGAATTTTTTTAGCTAAGCCAATCAGTAATAGTGTTCACAGCTCACTGTCAAAATTTGAGCCTTCAAATCCATGTGTGTCCAGAATTATCCACGTTTTAAAGTTAAAATGACGACTTGTCTTTTCTTGAGACACTGTGATATATAGAAAAGACAGATATAGAAATAAGAAAAGAAATTCCTAGTTTGAGATATTTTTAAAGGAATTATGTGATTTTGGTACATTTCTAATATTTCTGAAGACTATTTACATATATTCAAGACTCAAATCAACCCCTCAAAAATGGCACACCTGTCCCTTTAATGTCGATGTTCCTAAAATCAGTCATTTCGCTTCAAGCTCATGAAGAGTACGCATAATTATAATTTTTGCAGTTCGGACATGTTTAATCTTCAAAATGTATTTTTTCTAAATTTGAATTGTTTTTTCAGGTTAAGAGAGCTAGATAGAGAACAGACTGAAAGTTTAATAGTTGCTTCTGGTGCTAGCAGTTCCTGAAAGTCTGGTGCCAGCAGTTCCTGAAAGTCTTGAGAGTATGCACCTCAATATTTTACTTTATAGAAGTATTCTGCTCATTGTAAAGAACCTCAAACATCGGAAAAAGATGTCAAAGAACTTGTGAATCATGATTCAAAATATAAACACGAGAAGTTGTATTTTCAATTGTTAAAGGGACAGATGCGCCATTCTTTTTGACCAATCATACCTTAGTCTCAGAGAAGGGAATTTTTAGCTTAGCCAATCAGTAATAGTGTTCACAGCTCATCGTCGAAATTTGAACCTTCAAATCCATGTGTGTTCAGAATTATCTACGTTTGAAAGTTAAAATGACGACTCGTCTTTTCTTGAGACTCTGCGATATATAGAAAAGACATCTGTAGAAATAGTGAGTAAAATTCTTCAGAAGTACTAGAAATGTATGAAAATCGCATGATTCCTTTAAAAATATCTCAAGCTAGGAAAAAATAAGGTGCATATGTCCCTTTAATAGTTTAGAATATTTTTTTTTAAGACAAGTATAGCCTTCCTGTATCTCCACTGTCAACAAACTACCTTAAAACAAACTCTAGACTGTAGGGCTGCAACAATTCACCGATGAACCGCGATTCTTTCTTTCTTATCGATGGATTGCGTTGGATAAAAATAATCTTGATATATCGGCACGATAGACCCCTTTAATAACAAATGACACAGAATTCTTGTGTGTATAAGAAATTGTGTCATGTTTTCATTTTCCAAGTTTGATTTTCACATCAAAATTTACAAAAAAATTATTCCTTACTTTTAAATGTTCTCAAGTGCTTAATAGTGACAAACTTGTAATTTTACAAATTTACATTTTTTCTCTTTCCGTCTTTAAAGATGGGTTCCCTTATTTTTATTTATAAAATGAAAATGCTAATACTTCTATGAATAGAAAGTAGAGGTGTTCTAATGACTTGGAAAAATACCACTTTGTCTCACATGTCCATAATTAATTCATAATTAGCTAAATTAGAAGAGAATTACCAGGAGAATTCCAATGAGTGACCGATCAAGAAAGGTCAAAAAGTCTTTTTTTGTTTATCCAGACTGTACATACATGGACATTTATGATTGGTTAAAACTCTTAATTATATGCAATATTAAGAATACATGATAATTCATTAGAAACACCAATTAATCAAATAGTTTGCTTAATTTGACGCTAAAAAATAAATGAATCTTGATAATTATCACAATAAATCATATCATTGGATGAGTATCGTATAGTATATCGAAATCGCAACTTCAAGAATCGTTGCTACCCGACTAGACTGGAAACCAACTTTCTATTTTTGGTCTAGGATATCTTACCTGTCTTTCTATTTTTGGTCTAGGATATCTTACCTGTCTTTCTATTTTCTGATTATTTTTTCTGAACTCCCTGTTTTATATGATCTCAGTTTTTTTCTATCTTTAAATTTTGTGTAAGTTATTTTTGTGTTAAAGGGATTGTAGAGAAAATGAAATGAATGGAGTTTTACGTCCTACTTTTCTACACCTTGTGGGTTAATGAATATGGGCAATGCCATGCAGGGTGCAATGAGGGAAATTTTGCCAGGAAAGCGGAATTAGCCTGCTCTTTTTCGATTTCCATCTGACAAGGGATCTTTAACATGTACAGCCTGTAGCACACAGGGCCTCGGTTTATTGTCCCATCTGAACGACTAGACGCTCTTTTCATGTCAGCCTCTCTTACCTACATCACTGACAGGGGAAACTGGGTTGAAAAATCTGAAGGTATTATCTCGACCTATGTTAGTTGTTTGAAGATCGCACAGTGTTAATCTTTAAGGAACAACATGTTTCAGGTTCTGTTTTAGTTGTCTGAAGATCGCACAGTGTTAATCTTTAAGGAACAACATGTTTCAGGTTCTGTTTTAGTTGTCTGAAGATCACACAGTGTTAATCTTTAAGGAACAACATGTTTCAGGTTCTGTTTTAGTTGTCTGAAGATCACACTGTGTTAATCTTTAAGGAACAACATGTTTCAGGTTCTGTTTTAGTTGTCTGAAGATCACACTGTGTTAATCTTTAAGGAACAACATGTTTCAGGTTCTGTATTATTATTATTTGGAGGTTTCCTGTTTACTATAATAGTAACTATAATCTGTATGTATATAGATGTATTTAGTATTTATTCACGTGCAATATTTGATATTTGTTCAAGTTGATAATTTGCGATAGTTGTATATCGCCAAGTTCTACTCTCTGTCTATAATAAGCTTAGATTCAATTTTTATACGCCCACATCTCTCTATGTGGACGTATATTGTCGGCACCCCTGTCCGTCCGTCGGTCAACATTTGCTTGTAAACGCGCTAAAAACTCTAGATTTTTTGATGGAATCAAATGAATTTCGGTATGTGTAGACATATTCATAAAACAAAGATCTAGTTCGAATTTGAGCTATTTTCGACCATTAGAAGCAGAGTTATTGCCCTTGCCTCAAAATCTTGAATATTTACCATCCGCATGCCGTGGTGGGCGTATATGGCTGTGGTCCACTATCTTTTTCTCTCTCATTTCAAATATTCAAATTAATATGTTCAACTGTATGCCATTTGTTTTAGAATGTCTTGAGATCTATAGAAATATAAGGTTTGGTAATTTTACAGTTGATTGTAAAGGGATTTCTTAAATCAGGAATTGTATGGAAGTTTTCTTAATTTTTTATGTGTATCAGGAACACTGATAGCATCAATTTACATCATTCTAATTTTCAATCAGACGTCTGTGATTCCTGCAATTCCACTAAAACTAAGTGTTTGGTGACGTCATTAAATGCTTAGTTTTAGTGGAATTGCAGGAACCACAGATGTCTGATGGGAAATTAGAATGATGTAAATTGATGTTATCAGTGTCCCGGATACAATCACTTTAAATTGTTACAAAAATGATTTTGTAAAATTTGATTCTGTAAACATTGTAGACAGAGAGTAGTTATACTGTATATTTACATTGGTGGCACCAGCATGTACCCCCTCCCTCCTAAAAAAAAAAATGGTTTTCATCCCCAATTGTACCCTGCATTCTGAATTCAGCCTTGACAGTTGCTCCCCTATTTGGTCCCTTCCCCCCATTGAGTAGGTCTCTCCTATTTGTCCCCCTATTAAGTCAGTCTGCCCCCTATTTGTACCCCCATGGAGTTAATCTACCCTATTTGTCGCCCCATTGAGTCAGTCTCTCCCCTATTTGTCCCCCTATTGAGTCAGTCTGTCCCTATATGTCCTCCCATGTAGTCAGTCTGCCCTCTATGTGTACCCCCAGTCCTCGAGGGAAGCTGGTGCCGTCAATGTATATAAGAAAGTGTGGGAATGACATCCATTAATAGAAATATCTGTGATTTTTGTGTGACTAATGAATTGTAATTAATATTTTTCAAGATTATGAAATAAATGACTTGCTATTATGAGATGAATATTAATGAAATTTGCTTTTTTTTATATAATATATACCCACATGGAAGAAGAATTTGTTTTTGATTGAAGTCAGTGGCTGAATTGCCATAGGGACTGGTTGAACCAAGTCTACGGGCCCTTAGGGGGTCACATCCCATTATCATTAGCTCTAGCTACTGAAAATCTATTAATCTCTCATTAACCAATACTTAAATTGACTTTGCAGAGGAGTCTCAGAAAGCAGGAGAGCATAATGTAAAATAAAGCCCTAGGGGAGGGGCCCCAACCCATTGAAGTTCACGGACCCCCACTCATCTAGTTGAGCCACTGATCTGTTTGGAGTAGCTTCTATTAACACATCCACACTTAAATGGATTGTCTTGCAAGCAGGTGAAAAAAAATTTGCCTAGCAAAGCAAGGCGAGGCATATAAGGCACATAACTCCAAATAGAAGCCTTGTTTTTGGATAAAGTATAAGCTTACAGCCAGTAGGCAGAGTAGTGTTTCCATGTATCAATGGGGGAGGGGGCCCAAAATAAGGCACCGTTGTTTCGTCCCTCTCTCCTTTCCGTAGAGCTACATATTTGAAGTAGTGCCAAAAAGTGTAGCCTGTTGAGTGAACTATTTTACCAATCAAGGGCTATAACTACAAAAACTGCCAATTGAAAAATCGAGAACTAGACTACGGACCAATATTAAACACTACTCGGACAAATGAGACGCATGGGAATTGAATTTTGTTTTTTCGCGTAGGCCCCATGTGTAGCGTTCTAATAGTAGAAAAACTTACCAAAAACTTGGGCTGAATCCACAAGTCCGGACATGACTATCGATGCCTATTCTAGTCCTTTATAGTCAGTTCTTTTCACAAATTACAGAAAAACATTTTTCAAAGACAAACTTTGTTCGAATTCTGGCTTTTACATTCCTTTCTTATCACAATTTAAAGCAAAACAGAAATATTTCACAAAGTCAAAAGTTAGTTGGACGCCATTTTGAAATCTGCTTCACGTTTGCACGTGCTGATGATTCTGGAAGTATGTCACGTGATCACCTACTTGCCATTCGGCAACTCTCGGTAATTTCCGTAAGCTGCATTAAAGGGATTGTGAAAAGATTTTATAATTTTTTATGTGTATCAGGGACACTGATAGCATCAATTTACACCATTCTAATTTTCAATCAGACGTCTGTGGTTCTTGTTAAAGAGATTGTAAAGAGGTTTTCTAAATATTTTATGTATATCAGGGACACTGATAGCATCAATTTACACCATTCTAATTTTCAATCAGACGTCTGTGATTCTTGTTAAAGAGATTGTAAAGAGGTTTTCTAAATATTTTATGTATATCAGGGACACTGATATCATCAATTTACACCATTCTAATTTTCAATCAGACGTCTGTGG